GGAACGATGACAATGTGCTTTTAAATATAAAGCAATTTATTTGTGCTACCCTCTTCATATGGACTCTACCCTTATTCTTCCTCGTTCAGGTGACATAATCAGCACAGGTAAAAGAGGAAACAGGCAGAAATGCTCCCTCTTCCCAATTGCATCCCAGCCCATTTGCTATGAGAAGTCAACCAAGACCAGAGCAAGTGGAAGGAGAGAGAAACTGATCTCTTCTTACCCATCTCAGTGACTTTGCTGGTACCAATTTCTGCAGACAGCAAGGAAGACGTGGGATGAAAAATTGAAAGGGGAGTGCAGAGTGCGTGAGCTCCTTCTCCAGAGAAGCAGAATGACAAGTGCTTCTCCTGAGGAAACACACACAAACTGCAGAACACACAAGGCCAACGGGTTGTTCTTCACCCACGTGCGGACCTCCTGCACAAGGCTTTTTAACACTCAAGGACTGGTTAGGCCTTGGTGCTGCCTTTTCTTGTGATCTGACAGGGAGATCCCTAATTCTGTGCAGCTTCAGTAGATAACACCACATGATGAGGAGGAACACTAACAACATACCACAGAGAAGGCAATGAAATTATATGACAAGAACAATACAGCATTATGAATGTAGGTGTGTGAATCATGAAGCAACAACACTCCACTCTAACATGAATATTCAACAAAACTCCTCCAGAGGGCATTCAGAGCAGCAGCTAAACTAGGCTCTTGTTCCAACGGCTCCAGCAAGTTTAATCTTTCCTCCTTTTCCAAACAGAATGCTGCTGAAACAGAGGAAGACTAGCCTGGGGAAACTGAAGCCAGCTTCTATGGTTACCCACCTTCGGCTTACTCTGGTATTTTCACATCTCAGTGCACAATCACTTTATTGTTTCACTCCTTCTCTACTGCACTGAAAACATCAATCCAGCACAGCACTGGTGATTCCAGGGCAAAACAGGCACAAGCATAAGGTGTAAATAAATAATGCATGATAACCATAACTAGAAGATGAAAATTTTTATTTGTACTTAGCACATACATGAAAGATCAAAAAAAAATATTAAAAGATAGCATTTGTAAACAAATATATTTCACAAAAAATTGTACGCTATCAAATTTGCTCTGAAAAAAATAACAGTTATAGCTGTTTACAAACCTGTATTTATCAAAATCAAGTTAAAAACTACTTCATTTTTAAAATAGCCCAAATGAAGATTCATTCATTCCAACAACTTCAGAGAGACCACAGATGTAAGGCCTAATTAAAATAAATGCACAGGTGAAAATGGCACTACTATTTCCAGTTAAAAAACAAACCACAAAGAACCACCAAAAATCAGCAAGTGATCAAAATACCAGCCAAGCCTATTTAAAGACCTAGGTTTATAAAATATACATTCAACTTTGCAAATGACTAACTTTAAAAAAATAGAGCTATTTCACTGGATTGTCCTTATCTGTAGCATATCGATTATGAGTTGCGTTTCTGAATCCACTCAGAAAACTTATCAGTAGGTAGTTCTATGCCATTGTATAGTTCACTTCCATAATCACATTAAAAATAAGAAGACAGCAGCACCCTTTTAGCAAGGATTAATTTTTAACATTCTTGCCTTTATAGCAGCAGGTATGGTTTTGGGGAATGCTATCAATATAAACAGTAAGTTAAAAAAAAGAAATACACATATTCCATGAAGTTTTATTATCGTGTCCTTTCCCTATACTTGTTTTCACTTGTTTTCAAAATTAGGCAAGCACCTATTTTTTTTTTTTTCCACAGAACACAAAAATTCAAAACAAATGATGCCCAAACCTATGACTACCTCAGTAGGCTCCCTTTGTTGGTGGTCCACAAGCCATTTTGATTGCCAGTGTGAATTATGTTTTTATCTATTTGCATGTCAAAAACAAAGCTTCTCACACTTCATCTATTAATTTGAATCAAAAGAAATAAGATAATAAAAATAACTAAGGCACAAATGGCTGATCTTCAACAGCAGGCAGAGGGTCACAGATTTGAAAATACGGTAGAATATAAGCCCCCAGAAATACTCCTGGTCTCGGGGCACTGAAAATTCTTACTAGCTTTCACAAAAGGTTTTTCAAGATTTTTTACAAAGATAGGGAAAATGCTTTTCCCAAGAATGTCCATGAACACTAAACAAGGATGGAGGCACACGCAAGGAGACACACGTTATGCACAACAAACACACTTCGGACATACTGCAGACAGACACGGACCACGGAATGCAAGGAGCGTCTAGGATGGCAGGTGAAATGAAGATGGCTGTTTTTCAGAGAGTCGTCATGAGTTTATCTTGGAACATCATGCTTTGGATGCCTCCTAAGTTCTTCTGGTTCTGTTCCTGGATATATCGTAAATTGCTGTCCTCTCCACTTGTGGGGGCTTTCCAGTATGGCCTGTCATCATGATAGGGTGGCCTGTACCATGTGCACAGTTATTAGTTAGTAAGAGCTGGAAGTAAACTTAGAAGTGCTACACAGTACATAAGTTGTTACAGCAAGTGGGGTGCATCAAAGCTCCTGAACCCCAGAGGGCTGGGGGAGGAAAGAGGTTGCTATGGGAAAACTAAGTGTGTACAACAAACACAGAAAATAAATCATAGCACGCGAAAGGCTGAGCTCACAAAAATATAGCCTTAAGGTCCAAAAAAGAAAGAATTAAGAAAGGCAATCTTATTAGGAAAGAAAGTTGCTGTTCTATGACTACTGCCATTCCTTCAGCACTGGTGCAGTCAGTTACCCTGACGCAGCCTGCAAGTTACATGGTCAGGGCCTGTTAAGGGGAACACCTCCAGTCTATAGTTAGCACAGGGATTTCTGCCACCCTGGAGTGAAACTTGCAAAAGTTCAAGAGGAAAAATATTTACTTGTTGCTGCTTAGAGATATTAACTTCAACCACTCTACAGTGTCTTCTCAATCACTGGGGGGGAGAAAAAGGGCATAAATAAAAAATTTTGAGGAGTATGTAGGAAACCATGGTGTTTAAGATTCCCTTACTACCAAATGGAAGTTGCACTTTCTGTTATTTTTTTTTTCTGTGCTAGCAGAAATGCAGGCAGGTTAAGATTTTACCTTTTTTTTTGGAGACATTCTGAAGTTATATAATGACAACTGTTAATGGGAATGAATTTTCTCAGAAGACTGAACATTAAGTTAACTGCAAACAAATAATGTCATTAAAAGGATTTTACTAAGAAGACTGAGACATGATTCTACGTATTATTTCACAAAACTATTCAACAGCAACAAATATATAGCAGGTAACTTCATTGCAGCCTTTGGCCCATTCCAGACTGGCATGCCCAGCAGAAAGAATTTCATGCATCTGTGGTCTGATCTCAAGTTCATAGCTGGATGGATTAAGCTTTCTCAAATCAAGCTATACAAGATTTTAAATGCATAACTCTTCCACTTTGGCTCCAAGTTAGAATAACTCAAAGCTTCCACTTTAACCAAACATTTAAATGCTTCTGACTGGGACAAATATTGTGAGTACCTTTTCCACCCAGCTTGCACAATGGAGCTTTAAGTACGTTTTTTAGACTTACAAGCCTAGCTATAAAAAAGCCATTGTTTCTTTTTCCCTGACCTTAATCTTTGCCCAAAGCAGCAGAGGGGCTGCAGGGGGAGGTTGTCTGCACACACTACAATACATTACATTATTTCGGTATCACTCTACTCCAGGGTGAACTATTTGGCTTTAAAATGTGATAGACTAGTATCATAAGTGAACAAATCTTTTGAAAAAATTCAGCAAAACCTCAAACTAGTTATAAATCCATTAACCTCACTTAGCAACCACTTCTTTGTAATGGGAAATTGTATGTTTCAGATCACACACAATTAAATGGACAAATAAACCCCCAAACTGCGAAGAATCTTGAACATGATATATAGGCAAGTTAATTACTCAATCAAAATTCCTGTTTCTAGCATAAATAGAGTATCTGCTTTACCACTGTATGCTAGGAATTTTAGATGACAATGAGTACGTTTGCTTCTCTGCCAAGTATGTATTTCTTATCCCATATGTGCCTTTTTTCCTGCATTCCTAGACTCAAATTTGGACCAAATTGCCTTTCCACCCATTTTAAGCTTGGGCTCATCCCCAGAGCCTGCCTACACTAAGAATGAAGCCTACCTATCCTAATGTAAGAATATAGACATAAAAATGTAAAATGAATAGGAATGAAGATTAGGGTACGGGTATTTTTCAAATCAAGACAGTAATTGTCTAAAAAACGTGAGTAACCTAAAAAGGTCCCTTTCTATTAGCAGCAGATTTTTACCACGTGCACATGCACAGACACATCCACCAGCAGGTGTGAGCCTTCACTGTGCTCTCCACCAAGCTGGTTCTAACTTGGACTGAATTTTTTTCCAATATTTTCTTCCACTCAATTTCTCTCATTACTAGTTACAAAACAAGGAAGTCTGTGTGAAGATAGCGCAATACCACATACAGGGATATTTCTGTAAAATAGTTCTCAAAAACTCAATGTTATAACTTCACTAATTATCAGTGAAGTGCTTGATACATTGTTCCATGTATATGTTATTTTGCCATATATGTTTCTGCAAAAGATGAAAAAAGTGCTGCAACGCAAGAAATCACTCATAACTTAACTTTACCCTAAAATAATTTTTCTTTGTTTTAGGAGATTAAATACTGATTAAACCGCAATTAGTTTTATTGAAGCCACTGAGCATGTTCCCATCCAACATACTCCCTATAGAAATATTTTTGAAGTTGTACATCAAATTCTGAATTAACACTCAACTTGAAAAAAATTTCATCAAGCAGATGAGGACATTCCAAAGCCCAATCTAAACAGAAGTGATTTAACACTACCCCTGCATGACATATTTGTAACTACGTTTTGCTTTTCATGTGCAGAAAATTGCCCAATATGTCCATGAAAGCTTCATGCCAACAGAGTAAGATAAAGACAGAAGTGATCACCTTTTTCACAAAGCAAAGGCTGCTTACCTTACATTCACAGGCGTATGCGGATGCCAGTGTGGCTGAGCAGGATGTATATTAGCATGATACTGTGGCTGCAAGTAAAACATTGAACCTGGTTAACAAAAACATATAAAAACCACCCTATTCACTTTTTACTTCCCTGGGGCCATGAGAAACATGCTCTCTATGAGCCCTAGAAGCCCCCACTGTTTTAGTCCTTCTCCCATAACACGGAACATAGATGTGAGACCTCTTAGTAATGAGTTTGCTTGTTAGGACACATTCATGGCAGAGTGTCAAGAAAATTGCTTTTCTGTCTGAGGGACAACCTGGCACATCTAGTGCTTCTCATAGAAAGCACATCAAAAGAACATCAGCTTTAATCAAAGGTGGAGAGTGAGAAAGGTTACTATTATAACAGCAGTCTTCAGAAGGTCACCTGTCTTTGGCGACAGCATTTCTCTCTCCTGTCCATGAGATCTTCAGGAGGAATAGTGAAACAAAATCCCTAGTGAGACTTTCAATAAAAAGAAGTGTGAAGACTAAGTTCTCATGGGCACACTCAATTTGATTGAAAGCACAGCTTGCTTTCTCAGTAGCACTGACTGCCAGTATCACAGATGAAAACTGGGCGAAGTTCTTCTCTGAAGTGTATGAAGGAGCTTGTTTAAAAAAAACCTAAAATATCACTAACAAACAATAACCAAACATTTGACCAGCAATAAACTCCTTGAGTATTGTGATAAGGGAGACAACTGCAGCTTTGAACTTGCTGTCAGGGATCATCTGATGTGAGAGGTGGCTCCAGACAAAAGCTTGCTCACAGAGCAGTCTCCTGGGGTCCATCATATTCACAGTCCCAAAGTCGGGAAGGAGGGAGGGAAGGAGGGAGGGAAGGAGGGAGGGAGGGAACTGGAGTTTATTCAGCTTGCCTAGCATCCAAAATCAGAGGGGAAGAAAGAGACAAGAATCCTTCCACTTTTCCTGTAACTCCCAAAGTGACGCTGTTTATTTCCGAACCACCTGAGAGAATCTCACCCCAGAATAAGGAAAGAGGAGAAAACGACAATATTTGCTTCAACAATTGTTATGCCCTTACCTGGTAGTTATGGACTTCAGGAGTATTTTTAGCACTAAGGGACCAAAAAAAAAAAAAAGTTATGTAATCAATACATCTATGTCACAATTTCCTTAGTTCAAGGTTCTACTCTTCAGGGGAGTATTACAGTGAAGTAAAATTCATATTCTTAAGGACATGAGTATTTTATTTAAGATATACACTACAGAAATCTGAGTGCAAGAAAGGGGTGCAAAAGCTTTTTATTCATTTTACATTTATGAAACAAGAACAAATAACATTAGATAAGTTAGCGTAATGGCAATGACCAGAAAGGAAACACATTTTGCTTTAATCTCAAAGCATCCGCAGACACTAAAAAAAATTAAAAAGTGGAAGCACTTGAAGTCTCATAAGCAGTCCCCAAGAAGAATTTGGTGCTGCTAAATAACGACTCCAAAGCAATTCATCCCACACCAGAAAATGTTTTGACAAATACCAATGCAGAAATGGTCTTCAGAATCTCTCCTGCCTGACAACAACCGAGAGGTTGAGAGAACTTGGACAGCCACTTACCACAGTTGTGCTGCTTTCACAGGATTGTTTGCTTAAAAAGAAACAAACAAAAAGACTTAAGACAAGTGAAAAAAAACCTTCAGACATGAAATTCAAGTAATTTGCAGCTACTGTGATTGGGATGTTACACTACAGCTTAAATGTATCCTCACACAGACATACTTGCAAAAATGTGTCAGATTCGCAAGTGCAGCCCTGTGCTTCCTAGCATTCCTATGTGAGCACATCCAGTAGGAGGCACACACAAACCTCCCTGTTTCTGAAAGAGTCAATGCCCATCAAAAATGCAGTAGATGAGCATTCTTCCCAAATGTCACAAAAGGAGGACTTTTGGCAGACTAAACTCTGTGTAATCAAAGCACTACTTCTCTCACCTTGCTGTAGCTACCATGTCAATACCATTGAGTTCCTTGGAAATCAGAAGCTATCCCCCTCAAAAATTTTGCATCTTGCAGAATCCAGATTATCACTGAAGCTGCTAATGGCCTTTGTCTTATTACAGTGAACGATGGTAGCCAAAAAAGCCCATCAGCTGGGAATATGGGAAGGCACCGAGCAGTCTTAGGCAACAAATCTTTGGCTTGTGCTCTGGATAGGCTGGAAAGAACGGTGAAGGAGGCAGTTGAGTAACTAGGATGTGTCATTTCTTTGTCCCGACAACCAGGGTATTTTTCAAGAGCACCAAAAAACTACAGAGTGATAAGAGTTACTAAGAGATATACAAGATAACAGTATATAAGAGATAAGTGAAAATTCAGCTCTGCTGAATGCAGAAAGGGGACGACAAACTTAATGAGATACTGCATAAGTCTCTAAGATTCTGAGGTAGGACAGAATCCAACGCTTGTGGGCTGCAACTAGGTACAGGTCTTAACGGCCAAGAGATGTGTGAAAGAGTAATCTGAAGGGAGCTTTGGTATCAACTTAAACACACTGTTGAGCTCTCTGGAGGGAGATCATCTGGGTATGACAGAAGTTCTGCCTGGGTGCTACGCACAGAGAAATAAACTGAGCATAAGTCAAACTTTCTCTTCTTCCCCATCTCACAGACGTAAGTACGGAAGTGCTGAGACAAGGTATAACCTGCAGGTCTGACAGATACTGTTATTGTGTAAAAAAATTAAAATAATTACAATCCATTCTTCCACTTATGAAATCATCCACACTTAACATTTAACTGACTCTTATCTATCACATCAACAGTACCTCACAAATTTAATAAATTTGCATTTCCATAAAAAGCTGACATGTAGTAATGAAGGGGCTGGTTACAGCCTCTAGAACACACATATGATCACTACCCTTTCCCCCCCATTGCACGTGAGGGAAAAAAAAAACGCCCCCGTAACACAACAAGGGTTTTCATGGAACTGAGGAAGGTTCATATGCTACGAAAGCAAAGGAGTGCAAAGATGTCCTAATGGAATGTCAGCTCACCCTGCTCCATACAGCAACTACATCTCCAGCTTCAAGTAACATACAATTTAGAGGGAGTTATCTTGCAGAGTTCCTTCCTAGGTTTTTCTACAAGGAATAAAAATCTCAGCTTCAGTTTTGAAGGACAAGTGACAAAACCACAAGGGGAAATAAACTCCTGGTCATTCAATTCAAATTTAGCACGTATCAACTACCACACAAAGTTAATTAGGGCCAGAGTCTTGGTAAGTGAATAATATGCCGTTAGAGTCAAGAAAATGTTACATGCTTTCCCTCATTGAGCTCAACACAACTTTTACTTCTTCCTCAACAGAGGAACAAAGGAAATCTTAGTTATCTCCTCCTCCACAGGTGGGGGACAGAAGAATTAGACATACACAGAGATTAAAACTGGTAGATATAAACAAGAGACTCTTACTTCAGGGAAAAAAAAACCAAATGTACAATGTGATTTTTTAGGTGAGCTGACATGTTTTTACACCGTGGTACAGATTTGATGGCTGTAATGTGACATTTCTATGAGTTGACTGGAGGCCTGCATGACCGGTTCAGTGAACAGATGTCCAAACACTTACCCTTATAAGTTGAATGCCTTCGAGAAGGGTACCGCTTGCTGGGCCTCCTCTCAAACGTGCTAGTTCGGCGCAGTCTCGTCCCGTGTGTCGCCTGATACTCTGTCCGCCCACTTAAAACACAGAAATAAAGTTAGCCCCTGCATTTGCTGGATGCTGTACCTGGGCCTTTGTAGAAACGCAAATATTTTTGCTGTTATTTTGCTAAATACCTGAACCTGAAGCGTGATCCCAGCCTTATGAAGTCGGATCTACTAGATTTACTGTTTGCAGGGGCTCGCAATCTGAAGAAAGCGTGGTGCTCCACTGCACACTTCCACAGATGTTTGCACGTTTTGGCACTGTCTAACCGGAAAACAAATGTGTGCTCTTGCTCTCTGCCCTAAATGCAGAAACAAAAGCTTTGGAAGTTGGCATGCATGATATTAGTTACTGCCCTTGGTAGGAGAAACACAGCCTGGGCCAACAGTGTGCTGAGCCTCCCTTGTGTTCTTACCAGCCTGAACACACACCACACTTTGTTGGATCAGGCACAAGTAAGATAAGAAAGTTACCTGTTCATCGTCTTCTACAACCACAAGTGTTAGTTTGCTCTTTTTAAAGTCCATTTTTGTGATTTTAGGCCTAAACACAAGAAGCAAAAGGAAAATTAATGGAAAAATGTCATTTTGTAATTTAGGACCATTTCCCATAAATGTGGGGGGGATTTGCAATCCTGGAACAATTCAGGAATTCTAATAAAAGTACCATCTGGAAAGTTGACTGTTTTTCAACAAATATTTTATATTTGATAGTGATACTTCTAACCAAGCCAATTTACCTTAATATTTAACCTTCATATTTTAACCTTCTAGATTCAATCTACACTATAAAATATGGTAAAAATCTCATTACATAAAGGAGAACCATTTCAGCTTTAACACAAAGGAACATAACACAAAAACAGATTACCAAAAGAATAAGCCTATTTTGTTGGCTCCTTCAAAGATCAATATGCCTGTTGGTGTCAGTCCAAGAGCATATTCACAACCATCTCTTCCCTGTAAGTGAGCACAGGATCAACAATCAATATGCCATTAGTAGTGTAAATATTACTACAGGAGTTCATCAAAATCCACAGGTTTCAAAATAAACAATAAGGTCTGCAGATTTTTTTAACTTCACACAGCAGAAGAATGTGCTGTGTATATGAATTTGCACTGGGTGCAAACTGGCAGGTTTTGGCAACAGGAGGCAACAGGGTGCCCTTGGTGGGAGGAGGAGGCCATGTGCTGCCCTGATGGCTCTAAGGCTTGTGGAAATGGCCCCACACCGATGCTGCAGCCAGGGATGCCCACACCTCAGCTCACCTGTGTTTAAGAGCAAGCAGTAGCTGCAGGGGAAGGAGGCACAAAAGGAAAATCTGAAGGACACGGGAAAAGGCATGTGGAAATGGATACCGTGGGGGACATGGATAGAAGATCCACCTGCAAGACAGTGGCACCATGGCCCCCAGGGCAACCCACACCACAACAAGGACATCCCTGAGGGACTTGACACACACCAGGGCAGAGACCCCACATTGATAAAGTATCACATGGATCTTACCTTAACTACATGCATATCTACACCATACATTTCTAGCCATTTGGCTTTGTTCAGGTAGCACAACTCAGCCTGCGCCGGGCTCTTTCCCCTAAGAACATAAAATTTATTTATACTTTATGGTAAGAAAATTTTGTCTGTTTTAAATGTTTTAAAATTCATCCCCCTAACCCTCTTCTTTAGGCCCTCCAGTGTAATGGCACTAAATAGTATTTCAAGCTAAGGTTATGTTCTTACCCTCTTCCCTCCAAAAAAAAAAAATAAAGCATAAGGATGAAAATTGAAAAAGGGTCTAACATTGTCAATAAGGATGAAAGCTCAAGTAAGACAGCATCACCAAAATGTACCATATTTATTAATAAAGGACGAGAAAACAGAGATTGCTACTACCCTGAACACAAAACTTTGTGGGAATGTGTGAAAGAAGAGAGAAAGAATTATTTCCAAGAGAAACAGGAAAAAAAAAATGACTGCTTAAACTGTTATGAAATCATCTAAAGGAAAAAAAAAAACAAAACAAACCAGAATTCACCCCACCAATCTTCCCTCCTAAATTATCACCATTTTCTACGTATAACCAATATAACCACTGTTTCATGTCTGTTGAAGGCATTCTTGTGGGCATATTTGACCCTGGAGCAGAAAGAAACCTCCTGTTGCTAGAGACACCACTCCCATACACGTACCCTACCTGCACTCTTTCTATTTCTGAAAAATGTCAAATTCCATTGCTTCAGTCTGGTTTGGTGCAAACCTGAATTCAGACACGAGTTCTGGCGTGTGCTCTGGGAGCTCGCACTCTCCCAGCTCAGCTGCAATCAACCAATTGAAAAATTAAAAACAAAGATCATGGGATGACCAGAAACATTTAATTCCACAATCTCCACAAAGACAGTGATTGCTTGTAGGTTTACAAGTACTTTGTAGAAGAATGCACTTGTGCTGATGTCGTACGTTAACCATCCCCCTGCCTGGAAACTCAAACCAGGTTTCACAGAAGAAGTCAAAGGCATTTGCAGGAGCAGTGTAAGGTTATGCTACAGAATTATGACATTCAAGAATGCTAGAACTAAACCAGCTTAACTAAAGCTGCTTCTCTGGATTTTAAAGCATTTAAAGGAAATAAAGTTTCTATTAAAACCAAAAACCAATGCACTACTGTTTCAGAAGAGGTTACTTTGAAACTTCCTCTCATTGCAATGAGGTCATACTTTTCATTCCAAAATACTTCCCATTATATTGCATGCTTTGTTACGTTACTGTTCATGTCAAAACATGAAGATAATGCCTAGTCTCAAGAAATCAATGATAAAGTTGTGGGTTTTTTTTCCCCACACCACAGTGGTGTAATATTCAGATGAAGTAGTTTTTAAGGGAAGAAATGCTGAAGCATTCACATAATTGAGGTACCATTTTCTACCTATTGGCTTAGGGCCTGGTATCTTCTTTTCCACGAGAACACCACTCAGACCCCACTGAGCTGAGCAGGAGATGCAAGCGCTGAGTGTCTCAGGGACTGAGGCCCTTTCTGGCCTCGTGCCTGTGACGTGCTTTGCTCCTGGAACCTCTCAGCTGTACAAAGAGGCTGCAATGTCACTGCCTCGGGACTGGGACACAAACATGGGTGGCAAATACACTGTACAGCAGCACCACGTATCTGTCACCTGACACATGATGTGATTCCAAATCTGGCCTTTGTCAGCTGACGTTTCTTGACTACTACTACTATTGCAAGTACTACTGGGAGAGAAAAAAAAAGAAAAAAGCATGGAGAGAAATTGAAACCCTTGGAGAAAGCAGGGTAGTTTTACATACAACATTTGCATGAATTTAATTCACTCTTGGTCTTCAAAAATACCTAACGGGACACATTAGAACACAGAAAGTTACATTCAAAATGCCACCTGTTGACTGATACACCTACTAGGTGGTTCTGAGCACTTGAGCTCAAACATTTAGCATTCCTAAGGATATTAAATAGATTGAGTTCACTGATCTTCATTCCTAATTACTGCCTCTCACTCATTTTGTCTCTTCAACAGTAACCTTCCGTGGTGAGTTACAGTATTCTTATCTGTAAGTCTTTAACAGAGGCATTTTGGCTCTGCTGCTGTTTCACCTAATTTGGAAGCCTATTTAATACAGAAGTCAGGAATTACTGGCAAGCCCAGTCTCCAGTATATGAGGGACCTACAACACACACATTAGCAAGGAGAACTTCAAGGAAAAAAACATAAGAAACCAAAGTTTGATGTGTTGACAAACACCTAGGAAAAATATGGGAGATTTTCTCTACTAGTTAACAGAGCGAGAAGCTGGGGAATGAAGGCCGTCAGTGCCATAGAAGGGATGTGTAAGGATGAGAAGGAACATGACCACACAGGACAAAAGATACACAGAAGCCAGGGCAGAAGTTTTAGGTACAAAGGAAAAGGCCACTTTTGTTTCTCAATAGCTGCACTCAGTGTTTATGCATTTTCAGACAAACAATGTCATCATTTTGAACTCCGAGAAATAGTCTTGAGAGTAAGATCCAGTAAGGGTCTCACCAGTTCCCTGCACTGTATTAGCAGCACTAATATTTTTCAACACAAGGGCACTGCAGAGGATCCAACTCTTAATTTGCAGTTTTATGACAAAGTATCATGCTTTCCAATGCCCCTCTAGGATTTGTTTGGTTTATTTTGTTTTTTGTTGTTGTGGGTTTGTGTGGTATTTTTTTGGGGTGCAGATGTTGCCCAATGCATTTATATATATTATATGTATTCCTTAATAACTGTATAAACTGAGGGACATTTTTAAAAGCAAATTTCCTATAAGGTTTTTTATAACTGCAAAAACATGTTTATCTGGAAACATAATGTTTATTCTTTTACACAGAAGGAAAAAATAGTGCACTATTCCCACAAAGATGTCTTATGATTTGAAGTGAAAACCAGAGATCTCAGAAAAAGTTTTCCTTTGGAGTTTAATTAGTAGTTTCCAAAGGATACCTGGTTAAATATGAAAGTTACACGAGACTAATGAGGTAGTTAAAAACTTACTCTAACAGTGACAAATCAAGTTTGCTTACAGCCTTCCTGTAGACAATCCCTAAGTGAAGCATACAGTTACGTATCTGCTTCACAAGTTATCCCATACTGCAAATCAGTGTTATTTGCTATAGAAGTTCCTTCATGGGACTGGCAACAAACCAACAGTTTCTCTTTGAACGATGAGCCACACAAAATGCCAGCCTTGGAAACTATTGTTTGGAACAAAGAAACGATTACTGTAATAAACAACTTCCCTGATTAAAAAAAAAAAAAAAAAAAAAGACGTATGAAGTATAAAGCTGTGTTTCAGAGGTCTAGAATACCAATTCCAGAATAGTCATTTATAACTTTTTCTTCACTCTTAGGAAAGCCACACTGAAGAGCAAGACGGGATTTTACAGAAACTTCTTTAAACTTTTCTAATTAAGTTTCCAGGGTCTATAAAATGTAATGTTACATCACAAAATGCTAATTATAGCACATGTCAGCAGGAAAGCAGGAATAATGTTAGTTGCAATAATGAAATAATTTTGGGCAAATTTTTTGTGATGATGGCAAAACAGCTAAAAAACTGAAACTGAAAAAAAGACAGCAGAAGAGTATAGAAGTACGTCCCTACCAATAGTGTCAAGAAGTGTTAGTTTGGGGAACTAGTCAGAGGCATTATAAACATGATGCATGGCTACTGCATTACATTTGTACAGCAATCACAGGTCTCAGTTACTACCCAAAACACTGAGGTATCAAACCTGTTATTCATTGCTTGGATCTCCTTGCCTAGACCAGGGGTGAGGTTATTAGTGTTTCTAACTGTGAAAATGAAAGCAACTAATCAAACACAAGCTCCAAATTTTATCCACCTCAAAAAGACGAACATATTTTGCCTGCAGCAGTTCTTTGCACACCTAACAATCAGAGCTGTGCCAAGCTGGAAGAGAAAAACAACCCACTGCCTGAAGATTTGCACCTGCTACTGTTTGGAACTAAATTCCCAGTTTTGACTCTCAAGGCCATCTAGAATCACTGATTTATCTCCATTGCTGTATTCAACTAAGAGACTCTGTCTAAGCACTGCATGTGCCATTGCCAGCCACCAGTGGAACAGGAACAGTATATTTCATTTAGATTCATTTTGCTGCAGATATGCCTAGAATAGTCCAGCTCACTGCACTTTCTGTTAGAAAGAAACAAATTTGAGCTCCATTACACAAGTTTCCTTCCCATCTGCAAAACAAAGCACCAGAAATGGAATGAACATTTGTGTTAATACATCTACAGGAAAAACAAACAAACAAAAACCACAAACAACTTTTTCCTATAATAACTTAATGAAACCTAGTGTCCTATGATTTTTTTAAATCCTGCAACCCTTGCTGCTGACACAGAACTAATCTCAGCTCTTCCTCTCCAGTACCTGCCACCTGCTCCCACCTGCCTGGTAACCATCTCCTGGGCCAGGCCCCAGAGAAGCTTGCTCTCCCAGGCACTGGCCAGGCAGCAGGAAGCCCATGTTCAAAGCTACATCTGCAAGGGACCAACCAAAGCACGTGCTGAAGGGGTAACACTGCGCACACCACAGCTTCTCCCCCAGTGGGGAACTATTTGGGGTCTTTCTTCCCCAGTCAGACCATGGCTTCCAGAAAACCTTTGTTTATCCATGTCTTTGAGGTTCCCTCCCCTTGGCAGGCGTGCTGACATTGCCTCATGTAGTTCAGAAGTTAAGAATAGAGGTAAGGCAGGAATGTGATCTTCCTAAAATTCTTCTCCTCAGGTAAACAAATGACGTTTATATCTGATCAGTGAGAAAGCATTAGTAACAAAGAGTGAAAAGAAAACAGTAGGTGTGTTTTTAAGACACTAAGACAAACCAATTTCAAAAGACCACCTACCTTGAAGACACAGAGCTGCTAGTTCAACAGCAGTTTCATATGGGCATTTCAGTCTTAAAAAGAAGAGAAAAGAAGCTATAAAAATAAAGTCTTTTTTTCTCAGTGAATTCCTCTTGCAATAAAGCTAAAAAGTAGGCTGATATAAGAAATGGAAATGTTAACTTCCACAAGCTATTAATGATATTAAACATCTAAATTAATTATTACTTGTATATGATTACTTCCTAGTTTGGTACATTCTAATTAGCACTAAGCACATGATATGCTCCACCATAAAACAAGCTTGAACTAATAGAGACAACATTAGATCAACTAGGAAACTATTTTTCCTTCAACACTATACTTTAGAATATATGGTTTCAGGGTTTTTTTGTTTCTGTAATTAACAAAAACCCCATAGAGCAGGTGTGAATTTATTGGCCAGGGCGAGACTATAAAGACACAAAATATATTCACTGGGTTGACCTTTACAGAAAGTGTTTCACTTCATTATCTTCTCCTCCTCTATTTTACCTATCATACTGAAAAATATGGCAAGCTCATGTTACTTTCTCAGGTCATAAAAATCAGGACAGTTTTTGCTCTCTTTATACATTTCCATCATCTGGTCAATCCATCAAAGGTCCTTACCCATTTTATTTGTCAATAATATAGTCATGATGATCACAAAGTCATATACCTCTGTATTCTAAAGGAAAAAAAATGCATGTGGAATTGTAAATCACATTTATAATCTATGCATGAATACCATAAAGAATTGAAAAGATTACACAGTTAAAAGTAAAATTTTAAATTAGTAAAAGATTAACTATTATAAATACTTTAAATTACAGCTGCAAGAGCAAAGAGGTACTTACTTCCCTGAAAGGATGTCTTGCCGGAGCTGTAATACAAACAGGTACCTGACAAATAAAAATTAGGAAAGTCAAAAGTATATAATAATGTCAACTTTCTAGCCCCAATGGTTGGAAAAATATCCCATTTCATTGAGTAGTCACAATGTTTTCATTAACTTGCTCTTAAAAAAAAACCAAACAAAGGGGGCCTTTAGGATCACTCAGATGCTCCCTGCAACCTTCAAAGTCCCCATGACTTTCACCTAAAGCCAAACGAAAACATTTTCCATCTACGGGCTGGGTTCAGGACATCTTACTGTTTTGTGATGTGCTCTGAGCGCACACCACAGCAAGCTAAATGTTATTGGCACTCCAGTCTTCTCCTGAGCTGGGTCTTACCCCATTAGAGCAAGAACTGAACCACAGGATCTAGAGACAAAATGCAGATAAAGACATGAATACATCAGGGCACCTTGTCAAACAAAAATAAAGAACATGGAAAAAGTCCAGACTGGGCAAAAGGAAAAGCTCAGACTAAAGTTCCACTCGGAACAGCAGAGAAGTTCTGAATAAAAGAAACCTGAATTCCACAGAGCCCACACATTTATTCACAAGGCCAAGTAGGAAATTACAGCCTTCAAATTGTAATAGTATTTTAAGCTGTTGTTATATCTTCATTTTTCTTCTTTCATTAAATCTTGAAGGCAAGCTTCATGTTTCACAGCCACTCAGAGTTGGGGTTTGAGGCATGCAGAAGTGCCTCAGGTCATGCAAGAGCTCTGTACAGGACAGGATGGCACAGGCGGGCTCCACACTGCCCTGGATGGACACTGTGGAGTGAGACTTGCAGTGATGAGTGACTCAAGAGAAGAAAGCATGAAGCACTACTGAAAATCAACCCAAGAAACACAAATGTAAACCTCTCCTAACTGTACAAAAGATGCTAAAAACAAAGTGTTTTCAATCACAGAGGATGTGCTGTGAACATGGTGAAGGATGACCAGTTGGAATCAAAGAGGAAAACAGAAATAAAAAGGAAGATTAAAAAGACTTCTCATGATATACTTAAAGCAGAATCAGATTTATTCATGTTAGCTCTGTGTCACATCTCTGCTTCACCTACTTTGCTAATATCTGACTTGCCAATCAAATCTGGGTATGTGCATGCACGGATTAAGAGTAGAAAGGGGTACTGCCTGTTCTGATTGGCTTTCCCTGATGATTCTCAATCCCATGAACTCTTCCAAATCATCAAAAATCTGAGCAGTGTTTCTATCAGTGTCAGCCAGCCTGTGCAGTGCTGCACCTCTGCTCTGGCTGCTGTGGCTTTCTCTTGCTCCTTTTCTGTACACAGACTGACAAGCGTTGGCATTCCAATTGTTCATAGTCCAAATCAGCAAAATACCTTAGAAACTTCTCCTCAACACACACGAAGAGACACATTCCTCTGTTGCTTTTCTAACTAATCACATTCAAAAAAAGTGATAAAAGTTGTCTTCAAGTGTACTGGAATTCATCTGAGTTTTTAAATTGGAAAAATTCAGGGTGGGTGAAGGGTCTCAATGCTTCCCCATTACTATGCTAATTATGAGAATTTGACTCCAGCTTCACTAGAAACTGCAGGTTACAAGAAAACAAATCTCCACAAGAAATTTTGAACACCCTCCTCAACCAGGCCAGTCCATGGTTACTAACTGCTTTTATTCCTCCTCTTATTCCCATTCCATTTCCACTTGGTTTAAGTCTGAGAATATAGTTAATCTTCACTTTTTACTCAATGTGCTACATGGAAAATATGATACAGCCAACATAAAGATTCTTAAAAAAAATAAACTACATTCAAACATTTTCCCCCTCAAAAAAAGAGAAATTCAATTATTTGTTAACTGTAAAATCAATTTGCAGCTCATTTTCATTTTCCTTCCACAGTTTCACAGCAGTCTTCTGTCAAGCTTACAATTAAAAAAAAAAAAAAAAAATATTCATAACACTGAAAATTTAGCCAACTAAAGTGTTTTTCTAATTAAAATAGTCTTCTGAAATGATCATCTTTCAGCAATAATTAGATCACAAAGCATCAAAAGTTCATACTTTCAGGGGAAACATCTTACTCGATCACAGCAGTGACCACACCTTGCAGTGACTAGGATTGTAAGCTTCAGAGAATTAAGTAAGAAATCTTGTGTTAGACAGTAATGGAATAATTTGACCACAGGGCAAATGTAATACTTGTCAGACATGCACCCTGATATATGATGACTTACATCAATTTTCAGCAAATACATATTATTCCTACTAATTTATCTGCATTTTCTCACCAGAGATGCCCAAAAGTCATGCAGGTTTTTGGATTCTCTGAGATCTTATACTCAATTATGTAAGTGGCAGGGAGTTCTAGAGGTTAATTATACCTTGTAGAGGAATATGCCCTCTTATTGAATTAATACTGCTGCATTAAACTGATAATGGATATTAAAGCCCCCACATCAGTATCATAAAGTGGTGACAATTAGCTCTTGGATCTTGCCTTAGGCAGTGAAAAAAAAATACACGGTCAACACAGCAGACAGGAAAGGAGACAATGAACATATGCCTGCAGGAGAAAGTTTAATGTAAACATCACATGCACTACAACCACCAACAATCTTTAGACACCTTGGGCTGCATAGGATTACACTGATTATTCCCAAGCAAATTTGAAGACACAGAAAGTAGCCTACGGTGAGAAACAGAACAAACAAACAAAAAAGATAAACCAACATTAAGATAAATGATTACTACACAAAGAAGACAAAGCTAGCACATACAAAGCTTTTCCTCCAGCTGTTCCTTTCCCAATTTTCAGAATACCCTCTAGATCACACCAGGGTGCTACACACCCATCAAGATATAGTCCTCACAGCCCAGAAAACAGCCCATCAGATTTAAACAAAAGTCTAAGGTGACTTTATACAATGCAGTCTCTGCACCTTTTGCACCAGAGAGCTTGTGGGGAAGTGGAAGAGATTCAATCAACCGTCAACCAAGAACTCAGGCTGTCTCTTCCCGTAGCTCTGTGGCCTCTGTACCGCTACTGAATCACCCCATGTCTGCGAGCAAGGGGGACAAAGCAGAGCACGGGCATTTTAACCGGACAAGATGGAAAGCCATGGTACCTCTCACAGGTACGGCACGTGCTGCTGCTGTAAAGAGCAGCTGTTTCCCAGCTGCAGCTCTCCCCATCCAACACTGCCTTTTTTTGCTCACTTCAAAGCACCAGAACACAGCACCTCCTACAGACTAAAACACTCAGGCCCATGAATGGCTTTTGGCAGAAAATAAAAAAGATGATGTTTCTCTGACAGTAGGAAACACCTAAGAATTCAGACAAAATGACTACTCTTAGTAAGAGTCCAGATCATCTGCTTACAGTGCCCCCACATGCAACTTAGATGTCTTATTTACCCCCCGGCCAGCCACCCTGTTAACCATGCACAGTTCCTACCTTGTGAACTCCTCATGGAGGTTGTTCGGTTCTGATGAATAGTACTTAATTCGAAAATGCAACGTGTACGGAGGTCCAACTGTATATGCACAGATTTTAAATGGGGGAAAAGAAAAGTTTACATTAGCTGAGGTTCTCCTAAGGCAGAACAACAGCCACCACCTCACAACCCAAGAAACCCAAAATGAAATGTTTTCACATTCTTCAGAGAAGCAAATATTTCATGTGTTTAAATTTAAAAATGCATGCGATAAAAAAAAATAGAAGATTACCATACTGTAGGATACTGTAATCATTAAACACACAACAGTCCATTTGGAAAAACCATTTTTGTTCAGAGAGGCATGCCCCACAGCATTCTGTGAAGCACAGCAAGTTCCAGGTACACTGCCTGTTGTTTGGGGATGGGGAGTGAGGGAAGCAGGGAATCATACTTCTTGTTACCAGGACCAACACAACTCAAAAAACCCCCACCCAATAAATCATCTTTCAACTGATACACTTGAATTAGAAAAGGCAAGATAAATAAAGTGAAAAGTGCTGGACAGGACACTGGAAGGCACCCAGGAACACAGAAAGCTAACAAATTCCACGAAGTGGAGCTACAAGAATTGTTGTTTTCTCATGCCAGAAGGTGAATTAAGTGTGACTTTCTATGTAGCATAGAAAATAAAATGTTTCCCAGCTACCATGGGATTGTGAACAATGCCTCTGACTGTCTAGACCAACAGTCTGCTGGTATATTAAGTGCTGGAAAAATTACTCTTTTTCACATCTTTCTATGGTCTTCTGTAACACCACATGAACACAGTATATACGTGCCTATTAATGATCCATTCTACTAAATAACATGCAGCCCAAACTCTAATAATTAGAGCTTTGACATTGTCTCCAAGGATAGCTCCTAGAAGACAGGTTCTAGTACCCGAGGCTGACAGGCACCACTGGTGAGGTCTGCATCAGTGAGATAATGACTCTTACCTGCCCACTGCTGGGAAAAAGAGCAGTGAGCAACATCCATCATGAAAAAGGAACTCTTCTCATAGCACCTGCTGAATGCAGGGTACTGAAAAGTCTCCTGTTGTGAGGCAGACCTTTACAACACTCGAACTGCTTCCCTCTTTGGCACTTCTCAGAGCAGGGCTTTTCCAACTTCTTTTTAAAACAGGCCCTTCACCAATTAAACAAAGACAAAGCAGGGCAACTATACTGGCTGAAGGTGTTACAGAATCATTGTTCTCCCACTTTTTAAGACAGACCAAGAAAATGACAAAGCTACCACAGAGAGTGTACCTGCACATCACTTAGTAACTTAAGGTAAAGCAGTCTGTGATAGGTGACAGAAAGCCAACTACCAAAACCTTACCCAGAGAAGCTCTCTTTACCACCTGTTCTCACAGACTGACACCCACACACCATGAGGTGAAAGCAAACTGCCCTAAAGGCCTTTTAAGAACTCCACCATTTACAAAAACTGACTACATATTTGGATACTTATCAGAATGAAAGGCAAATCACCACTGAAGCAATAAATATCCATCTCTGTGAGGTCCTGCAAGGGGGTCAACAATTTCCTTGCAAAACACACCATATTTTAATCTCACAGAAGCAACACTAGCAAAAGCCACAGGCCGACTGGTAAGTACGGTATGTTAATAAAACACCTTAGTGCCAGTGCTGTACTGTTCCCAAGACTGCAACTAGATTACTAGAGATCCAGCAGCAACTTGTCTGCCTTAGCCAAATTAAAAAAACACCCTCCATGGCCAAATCCAGCCCCTCCACCCAAAACTCCCTTTGATAAAATAGCACGTACTTCTGCTAGTTTTAGTTATAATATACCAAAAAAAAAAAAAAACAAAAAAAGGTCACCTGTTACACAATTAAATATTTTCCATTTGCTTTTTGAAAAAAACAAAACAACAACAACAAAAACCAAACAAACAAAAAACAAAACAAAAACAAACAAACAAACAAACAAAAAAAAATAAAAACAAAACAAAACAAAAAACAAACAAACAAAAAAACCAAACGAACAAACAAAAGAAATCTGGATCAGGAACACTGACTGAAACTGATCTGTGTCCAAGCAACCTGATTTCACAGATCAGACTGAAATTACCTGGCAACCTATTCTGCTTCAAACAAACAAACAAACAGCACATGTTTAACAAGGGCTGCTGAAGGCTGGTCTATTGCTTATAAGTGTTTCTGCATTTAAACATGACACAGATAAAATTTATTGCCTACTTGGCCATTCCCTAACAAAAAAATATTCCATTAACGTCCATTTTTAAACATGCTCAATCACATTCAAATACTCTAAGTTCAAATTTTTAAGGAAGTAATAAAATAAACAGGCAGAGATGTGATACTTACTTTTTATTTGCTTCTTAATGAATTTTGAAAGGTCCAACCAGTGCTAAAAAAAAAAAAAGAAAATCCATGGTTAAAAGCAGTTCCATTCCAAGATTTAGTTGATACAATAAACTAATTACATTAAAACTTAACAGATAAAAGTCTCTTAAAAGAGAATATTGCCATATTTATTCTCTGAACTTCCACTTATTTGCAAAAGTGTTTATCTGCACATTTACCAACTTACCTTCTTTCGTGGGGCAAAGCTTGACTTATAAGTGCATCGTCACTGCCAGGAAAGTTTCACTCTTCCAGAGAGGAAACCTCAAAATCACCACAAAGAAGTGGTGTGTAAGGGAAATACCCTTTGGTCCCCAGGTTTCACTGTTGCCCAATTGCTCCTGAGGACCGTAGACCAAGCTCCTGGCTTTCAATCTCCTTTCACCTCCCTTGTTTGATGGAGACCCTCCAGATCCTGCACTGTCCTGCTTTCTGTGGCTCCACAGCCAAGTTTTTTCAAGATAAGGATGAAGACTTAACCTCCACCAAAAGTACTTGGGAAACACTGATGGCTACACTCCTCCCCTCCTACACTAACAACAAAAGATCTTAAATAGTGAATAAATTTTGTGGGGAAGCATATTTGTCATCCTAGTTAAATCTGTTTCATCAGTGTAATTTGCATCTACAGAACAGTAGCAAAAAAAACTCTCTGGTGTAGATTCATCTTAAATCTCTAACTGTCTCTGTGCAATGTCCAACACAAGGCTTCAATCTGATTTGAAGCAGCCCCACATAAGTGCTCCTGTTACATAAGGTAATAAAACAATATTTGGAGTTCCTTAAAATACAGGGTTTTCTATCTTTACGAATATACATATTTTAAAATAATAAGCTAGGTACAATGGGAAGAAAATCTTAGGAGAAAAAGACCCTTCCTCTCTATGGAGCATTCATGCTTTCAGAAAAAGGAGAACCTCTGAATGACTACTTAGCATTCCACTAACACCACGCTACCATGGCTAAATAAATGTGAAAAATTATTTGTTGGACGGTAATGCTGGTATTTATTTACTAAGCATGTCCTAAACCAAGGCAAAATTTTATTTATCACAGGTACAGAAGGGTATAGATCAGAAGTCTGACAACTTACGACCCTTGAGGTAAATAAATCTCATGAAAAAAGGAGAGAGGGAGAAAGAGAAATGGAACAATTATGCTGAAGACACTTTTATTTGTGTGAGACTTGGTAGGCTCCCTTAGATGAGGCTTCAAGGAATCCATCCTGACTATCTGAGAAACCTCTACTAGAGCAGAAATAAAACATTACAGCAACTCATACAAATACATTCCTTAGGCTTGCAAGTAATTTATTCTGTCTCTATTTTACCTTTTATGAAGAATTACACCAGAAACCACAACTGCAACAGAAGCTTTGTGAAATTTCAAATTTTTGATAAGGAAAAAATATCAACATTGAAACTTTGGGTTTTTTTACTGATATTATACAAGTCTGTTACCTTCACGCTTCCAGGGCAGATTGATTTTTTTATACTTCAAATACTGAGCTACAAGAACACCTTTCTCCTCAATATTTATTTTGGCTAAAGATAAACCACTCACAAAGACAAATATATTGATTCCATTAAAAAAAAGTTTAGCTTCATGTTAAATAAAACCAAACATGACTAACATCTGTCCAACAGGAAAAAAATCCTCCAAAACATTTTCATCTGTGGCCGCTGTTAGTACCATGTTCAGAAAGAAGCACTGCACAACCTGAAACACAATAATTCACCACGAAGGAACAGCTGATAGATCCAATCTTGGAATGAGATGTTCTAGGGTTTTAGGAAACCATCATTCTTAGGAATCACTTTAGGAAACCAGCACTCCTTTGCCTCAGATAATGTCAGAGAAGCAGCTTTTTCACACACGAAACCACAGCGCCTCTCCAAATGTCCCTCCAAGCTCAAAAAAATTCATAGCATTTTAGCTAAAGAGAACAAACAGTTTGGTTTTGGCTACATACTGTGTGCTGACTCAAGAACAGGAAAGTGTAAGCGGCAAATTCAGAAGTCTCACTACGAAGCTGAATAAAAGCAGAGGGGACTTTTGCCCTCTCGGTACCTTTGGCTATAGCTGTGGCTACACAACGGTGCATCATCTCAGGATTCCAACTCATCAAAGGAACTTAACTATGGCTCTCAGAGTGTAGGACCGAGGCTGACCACAGTCATTTCAACTATACAATGCCACATTCCCCATATCCAGTCTGGACTCAAAAGTATCAGTGCACAGCAAGGAGGAGGAAAGGGATTAATTGGTTTAGGGCTGTGCTATGATAGGAAGACAGTGTTTAAGCTACTTCACCCACAGTAAAGGTGGAAAACCCCCTCAAAACCTGGTCAAACCACAAGTAATCAAGATTCTATGATTACTTTAAAATAGAACAGGATAAACAGTTCAGTTGGAAGGGACCTACAACAATGATCCCATTCAACCGCCTGACCAGTTCATGTTACTGATGGCACTGTCCAAATGCCTCTTAAGCCATTGATAGGCTTGGGGCATTGGCCACCTCTCTAGGACACCTGTTTAGCCACCCCTTTAGTAAAGAAACATTTTCCAATGTCCAGTCTAAATCTTCCGTGGCACCATTTTGAATCATTCCCACACGTTCAGCAATCCCACAAATATTTGCTGCTTGCCTTGTCTTCCAACCACCTTGATACTTGCTGTAAAGGCAACACAGTGAGGCACACGCAGTCCAGGAGGTTCCTACAGTGCATTGGTGATAACTTTTTGGCATAGATGGTGGAGTGGTGCAGTAGCCAATGAGGAGAGGTGTGCTGCTGGACCTTGTACTAACAAAGAAGGTCTGGCTGGGGATGTGAAAGTCCAGCCTTGGCTGTAGTGAGCATGAGACAGCAGAGCTCAGGTTCATGCAAGGAAGAAGCAGGGCAATAAGTAGGATTGAAATTCTGGACTTCAGGAGAGCTAACTTTGGCCACTTCAAAGACTGACTTGGATGAATCCCATGGATTAGAACTCGGGGGGGAGGGGGAGAAGAGAACCGGTTAATATTCAAGCACTACTTCCTCCAATCTCAAGATCAGTGCATCCAAGTGAGAAATCAAACAAAGGACCTGCATGGATAAGCAAGGTGCTTCTGGAAAAACTCAAACAGAAGAAAGAAGTCTACAGTACGTGGAAAAAGAGACTGGACACTTGGGAGGAATAGAACAACACTGCTGGAGTATGCAGGGATGCAGTGAGGAAGACTAAGGCCCTCTTGGAATTAAATCTGGCAAATAATGTCAAAGACAACAAGGGCTTCTTCAAGTACACCAGTAGCAAAAGGAAGTCTAGGGAAAATGTGTGTCTCTTCCTGAATGAGGTGGGTGCCCCAGTAATGGAGGATACAGAGAAGGCACAGTTACTGAACGCCACCTTTGCTTCAGTCTTTACTGCTAAGCCTGACCCTCAGGAATCCCAGACTCTGGAGGTAAGAGAGAAAGCCTGGAAAAAGGAAGACTTTCCCTTGCTCAAGTAGGATCAGGTAAGAGAACATTCAGGCCAGCTGGACACTGACAAATCCACAGGAACAAACAGGATGCACCCACAAGTGCTGAGGGAGCTGGCTGATGTTATTGCTAAGCCACTCTCCACCGTTTTTGAAAAGTCATGGAGAACAGGAGAGCTATCTGGGAAGTGGAGGAAAGCCAGTGTCACTCCGGTCGTCAACAAGAGCAAGGAGGATCCAGGAAAGTACAGGCCAGTCAGCCTCACTTCCATCCCTGGAAAGGTGATAGAACAGCTCATTCTGGAGGTCATCTGTAAGCATGTGGAAGAAAAGGTTACCAGGAGTGGTCAGGATGGATTCATCAAGGGGAAAATCACTCCTGGCCAATCTGATAGCCTTTGGATAGTGTGACTAGCTGGGTAAATGAGGGGAGAGCAGTGAATGTTGTCTGCCTTGACTTGAGCAAGGCTTTTAATGCCGTTTTCAATAACATCCTCAAAGGTAAACTCAGGAGGTGTGGGTTAGATGGGTGGACAGTGAAATGGATTGAGAACTGGCTGAACAACAGAGCTCAAAAGGTTGTGAGTGGTGGTGCAGAGTCTAGCTGAAGGCCTGTAGTGGTGTTACCCAGGGGTCAGTACTAGGTCCAGTCTTGTTCAACACATTCATCAATGACCTGGATGAAGGGACAGAGTGTACGCTCAGAATGTTCAGTGACGACACAAAACTGGGAGGGGTGGCTGACACACCAGAAGGCTGTGATGCCATTCAGCAAGACCTGGACAGGCTGCAGAGTTGGGTGGTGAGGCCCTTAATGAAGTTCAACAGGGGCAAGTGTACAGTCCTGCTCCCAGGAAGGAACAACCCCATGCACCAGTACAGGTTAGGGGCTGACCTGCTGGAAAGCAGCTCCACACAGAAGGACCTGTGTCCTGGTTTCTGCAAATTCTGCTCAGATAGCATTCACTTCTCTTCTGTGAAATTGTGTCAATGGCATTGCAGGAGCATCCAGCCAGTGGCCCAGTATCTGCACCCATCATTAGCTGGGAGAAGACAAACTGTATGGACCTACCATAACCACAGGCTCAAGAATAGTGAGGCTCAGGTGTGTTCATCTGCCACAGGATCTTACCACTACAAGAGTTTCAAGCTTGGTGGCTCAGTCTCGTTTCAGGCCCCGCCGGGTCCTGCTGCCCCAGGCTGCTGCACGGAGCACGGGCGCAGCGGCACAGTGCCACGCCAGTGCTGAGAGGTGCCAGGAGCCCCGACGGGCGTGCCAAGTCCCACGGCTTTGTGAGCGGTCTCTGCTCTGGACAAGGCACGGGATGGGCTGACCTCCAACAGGCCCTTTCAAACAACACTACTCTGTGTGTAACCAGCTGTAACAGGAACTAAAGCAGCAGTTCTCATGCCAAGTTCCCTCCTGCCCTCTGAACAAAGGCAGCCACCTCCCACAGGTTAGAAGCAGTGGGACAGCACAAGCAACGCTGTCCAGTGGGAGAAGGGCAGATGGAGCCATGGTAAGAAAGCTCTGAGTT